ATATTGTTTCTCAAAACCCTTGAGGTCAATGGGATGTACAAGCTTTTATCAGCCAAGAGGAGCCATTGAGCCTGTGGTTGCTATAAAGCCCTGCTGCCGGGTGGTATAATTGAGTGAACAGCTTGAAGAATCTCTCGAATGTAGTTCTTTTACTCTCTTTCCACTCAGTATTGGTTCATGGAACTATCCTGAAATTGGATGCAGGAAGGAGCTAGCTGAGAAGAGCCCCTGTTATCCATTTCTACCATTCCCATTTTCTCGAGAAAGATCAGTGGTATAACAGAGCCTGAAAGGAATAAAACCAAACAAATTGAACTAGATACAGCTCAGTACTGGGGAGCCCACTAGACGCCTGAGGCCCTGAGTTCAATCCCCAGTACTGTAAAGACAAACAAACAATGCTGCATGTTGGGCCATCCAATCCCACACTTTGGAGAGTCAGGCATACTGGGTGTTATGAGTTCAAGACCTACCTCTACTGTGTAGTGTGTTCCAGGCCCGCTTAGACCAAGAAGAAAAGCACAAGAGGGGAAGGATTTTGCAGGAAGAAATAACTCTGTAATTTTCCCTCTTGTTCACTCTGCTTTCTCTTCATCCTTTTTCCAGACTATTTCTCTCCTGTCTTGCTTGAGCCAAAAGTATGCTACAATGTATAGATTAGAGACTAGCTGTTCAGCCTACAACAGTATCACATTACTGTTTTCAGTGGTGCAGACTGAACCCGAGGTTTCACGTGCACTAGACAAACTCTTTACCACTGAGCTTGGTGTTTTCAGACAGGATTTTGCTATGTAACTTGGGCTAGCCTTGAACTTACTCTGAAGCCTCGGCTGGCTTCTAATTCAGGATCCTTTTGTCTCCACCTTCCCAGTGATGGAAATAGAGGCCGATCGCTAACACGATATTATATATTTTTAAGGATCATATCTTTCTGGGCTTATATTCTGATCCTTCAATTATTAATAAAGAATCTCTCCCTCTCTGATCATAATCTTTCTGATTTGCTAGAAGACATGGACATTTAAAAACCTTCTAATACATAAAAGCTGAGATTCTCTTCTATTTCTTCCAACTCATTAATGTGGATTTAAAACTACTATATATCTACCAAAAATTTGTTACGTCTAGTTCATCCTTGTACTATTAGAAAACTAAGAGGAAGATGGATAATTTTCATGTGTGTGATCTGTATAATTTTAAATAATCTTGAGGGAAGGAACATAATCCCTCCATACACGCCTGCCATTTCAGTGGTGCAGCTTTATTAGGTGTGAACATCCTTAAAGATGTAAAGTTCCTTCACCCACCCAGTCAATTTCCCCCTTGCAAATATTTTTAAAGGTGTTTCAACACAGTTAACTAATGATTATGAAACGTAAGTAAGAGTGAAATTCTTTCCAGCAGGCAGACTTGCTATTTATAGTTTGTGAAATCGATAGTACAATCCAGGGGAGACATACAACACTTAATTTTTCAAAAGAGGCTCAAAGAAACAGTCAAAATGTATTGAATGCACATTGTTTTCTCTTTTAAAACAATTTAAACAAATTGAATGCACATTGTTTTCTCTTTTATGCAAAAACAGAAGAAAGCTTTTCAACTGGGAAATCATTTTAGGTTAAAATCTGAGGAAGAGAGTGAATTGTTTTTAAAAGGTATTCCTCCTCTTCTGGATTAAAATATTTAGCTTCACTCAGTCCCATATTTTAAATCATATCTTACCATGAGTAGAAGGACATGTTTTTCTGGTTTGCTAAGAACTATTCTTGGTTTTTATATCTTGACATCCCATCAGCATTAAACTGGTAATCAGATAAACAAATATACTCTTGTCATGATAACACTTTAATATTTTTGGAAATACTTCTGAGGGTTCTTGGGGCCACATACAGTGGTCCCATCCTATCCGGAAAGCTACATTCTTGATATTCCCAAAGCGAATCTAAAATAGAGAAAATCCTATATGTACATTGTATTATATTTTTCCTGCACATACATGTGTATGATAGAGATCTTATGGTCACAGCAATAGATAAAAATTATCCAACATTAGATAATTAGTGACAGCGTGATGTTTTAAAAAAAAAAAAAAGTTGTGTAGGTGAAATCTCAAATTATCTCACCATACTGCTGCCCTCATCCCTCTGGTGGTGACACAAGATGATGCAGTGATGAGAGGAGTGCTAAAGGCTCTGTGATGTAGTGATAGTCTACTGTAGTGTAGACTGCGTAAGAGTGGTCCAAACACAAGCTCCCATCCTGGGAGAGTCATCCGTCACCTAGATAGCTGTGGAGTAAGCAAGGGTTCGGGTGGACAGACACTCAGACTATGTACATCCCAAACACTCAGGGACAAAGGCCCAAGGTGTCATCATACTGCTCGTTATTGCAGCAGAAGGTGGACTAATGGAGTGCTATAAATAAATACAGAATACCTACATACTTGGGGGCAGTGTATACTGTTCAATTTCCAGGAATACTGATGGACAGAATTCATCATGCTAAGTGAAATGAGATTCAGAATAACCAAGTTTACTCTCTTATGTATAAACTAGATTTAAGCATGCTGGGGAAGAGTTAGTTCTTAAAACTAAAAAAGAAAAACTTCATGAGAGAGAAGGAGGAGCTTTTTAAGGAAGGGAGAAAGGAAGAAAAAAATGAAACACATGCTACATGAAAGCACGAGGGGTTATCTCTTGAGAAGGAAGGGAATAAACCAGAGGCTAGCAAGAGCCATGAGGGAAGGAAGTGGAGAAGGGAGACTGGGAGTGAAGGACAAAAATGTTATAATGACATATATGCATTAAAATGTCAAATGAAACATATTATTGTATACGTTAGCCTAAATATATTGATCAAACCAATAACAAAATTAAGCTGGATACATATATATATATTCATTCCAGGATATAAATATGAATATAAATATATAACCTATAGGTGTGTGTGTGTATACATATATATTGTATGATTTTTACTAATCCATGAGCCACAATATTGAAACAATATTGTCAATATATTACCTGGCAAAGAAACCCCTTTCCAAGACACACAAACAACTCTAAGTAAAGAATAACTTCAAAATCCTACAGAAAATAGGCAAATAAACCCAGCAGAAGACACTTCATAAGTAAGATATACAGATTGAATAACAACATATCAAAGTGAGTAACACTTCCACAACACAAATGACAAGCACAACACGATGTTATTTCACAGAGATCAGAAGACCAAAGTCTAGAAGCCATGACTCTCCATGCGCATGAGTGTGACCACATCCATTTTCTCCTGGGGGAAGGAAAACACCTTAGAGACTTATTTTTCATATGTATATTATCCCAAATACCTGCTGCATGACCTGGCAATACCATTTCTAGGTATTTACCCAATATCCTCCCAGGTTTCCCCATATCCAGCAGTGCTAGGCCTGGACTTTGCAGTCAGATGGTATTCCACATTGCAAAATAAACAATTACCTCCAACAGGAAACTTTTCCAGCAGGCAGGTGGCACAGCCACTACAATTAAGGACCTTTGGGGATTGGCATAATGAAGACTTTCAAGCCAGATTTTGTTGTCCTCATTTAAAGGTTGAGTTTAGAACCATTGGTGTTAGCAAAGTTAACACTATTATATAATCACCCATGGCACATAAAAGTTAAACTTTGCATCCCTGTGCATTTCTATTCTAAAGAAAGATGGGAATAATATTAAAATCTAAATTGTTCAGTTTATTCTTTCAACTAAAGTTCACTGAAAAACACCTTTGCTTAGGGTATTATTGCTTTTATTTAGATGGCAACTTCCTAGGTGCATGGTGGTTAGTTATAATAAATGTTTTGTAAACTATGTGCAATTATGTGCCTTTAAAATAATTCTCTGAGGGGCTGAAGAGATGGTTCAGAGCACTGGCTGCTCTTTTAGAGGATGTGGGTTCAATTCCCAGCACCCACATAGAAGCATATAACCATTGATAACTTGAGTTTCAGGTGATCCGAATCCCTTTTCTGCCCTCCCTCTGTGATAGTGCATAGATATACATGCAAGGAAAACACACTTACCCATAAAATAAAAATAAAATGAATCATTTAAAACATAGTACCCCATTTATTGCTACAAAATTATGGCAAAATGCCCATGTGGATTCAATACAGCCATCTCTCATTGCCACGAAATTATGGGCACGTCCCCCTTTTCATTGAAAATGGATCTTTTTCCATATAATATATTCTGACTACAGTTTTCACTCTCCCAACTGCCCACAGATCCTGCTCATCTCCCCACACGCACCCAAATCTACACACCCCCTTAAAACCACACAGGGTATCTAAATAATAAATAAATAACACGAGGTGAAATAAAAACAGACCAGAATAAGGCAAAACGAACAGGAGTTAAGTGCCCAGAGCTGACACACATACATTTGCACACACAGAAACCTCATAAAAACACAAAATCAGAACAAAATATGTAAGGAAAAGACTTGTGGTGTACACATATGTCCAGACAAAGCAGTATGAAACAAAACCACTCCCAAAACTACTCTTGAGTTCATTTTGTGTTGGCCGTCTACTGCTGGGCGTGGGGCCTGCCCTTAGGTGTGGTTTGTATACCCAGCAAGACTCACAAGAGAAAACTAATTTTTCCTTTGCCAGATGATAGCAACTGGAGACAGCTTGCAAGTTAGGAATGAGGGCATGTGTCCACTTCCCCTGTCAGTGCTGGGGTCCCCTCTGGCCATATGTGCAATGGTCCTGCTGGGTTTAGAAGACCTGGTTTCCTTGGTGTCCTCCATTTCCTCCCACTCTTACATTCTCTCTCCCTCCTCCTCTGCAGAGTTCCCTGAGCAGAGGATTTGATGGAGACATCCTTTTTGGGGCTACATGTTCCAAGGTCTCTCACTCTCTGTGCATTAGTTGTGGGTCACTGTATTTCTGTTCCCTTCCTAGTTTCTTCATTTATAAAGTGAAGGTGGCAGTCACTCCTTTAAGAACTATTTCATCTGCCCCAAGAGTCATTGCAGATGTGGCTGCTGTGTCATTTGTGCAGCACTAGGTGGCAGAGAGGAGAGAGGCTGTGTCTACACTCAGTGTTCTGACCTGTGAACATCTGAATGATTAGTAGCCTAACACTCCTTGAAAAAAAAAATTATCCTGAGACGACCACCAGCTGGTACATACTGAGAAGGCCAGAAAGGGCTCTTGGGGCAGAGACTAGGAGAACTTCATCTGGGGCCAGGGGTCCCAAGTGGGAGTGAGCCCAAGACAAACAACCCATGCATGGGGCCACTCAGCATAGGACTTACGAGGAGCGAGGCCCAGATGATCACCAGACTGGTATTATGAGGCTTAGACAGGGAGTAAGCTTCAGATGACCACTAGTCCTGTGCTGCACAGGCCTGGCATGGGGGCGGGGCTGTAACCATGCCTGAGATGACCTCTGCCCATTGCCATAATGCAAAAGCAGGGTGTAGCATTCCTGAGACCACTCCTGACACAACCCCAGACACTCAGAGATCCCAGGCACTACTAAGAGGAGAAAGTCAACGGTGGAGAAATGGAAGAGAGAGGGAAAAACAGAAGAACCTGAACACAATGAAGAGAGGCAGAACTGGGGACTCAAGGGTAGTAAGGGACAGCCTGATGTGATAGCCAGCCATGCCACCTAGGGCAATGGGATCCTGTCTTGTGCTGCCACTGGGGACTATGTCTTAGTTGGTAGCCCTGAAGCAGCTGGGGTCTGTAACCACCAAAGTCCAGGCAGACTTCCCTAGTCTAGGGAATATTGTTGTCCAAAGGCTGCGCAGAATTGGCCCCACCCCTCACCTGGGTATTATGGTAGAGCTGGCCCTGGGGCCATGAATATAGGAGAGCTGACCTCACCCTGTGCAGCTGCAGCACTCAGCAGAAAAGGCCCCACACATGGTGGGAGTGGTGGATGAACTGGCCTTAACATTCATCTCCCATGTGGTGGCATGGACCAGGGAGAGATACCCTCCTCCCCCTTGCCCCTCACCACCTGCAGTAAGTAGGGGAGCAGGGCTTGGAATTAGGAGAGCAGGAGGGCTGTCCCTCTCCCCAACTCCCCGCCAGCTTCAGGCCTCTGGAGATCAGGTCCTACATCTCACCTGGGCAGCACAGTGGAGCCAACCCAGGTGACAGAGGCTCAGGTGAGCTGGCTCTGAGAGTGTGAGCATGGGAGAGCTGGTCCTGCTTCTTGTCTGTGTTGCAGTGACACCAGCAAGGGAGAGATGCCTCCTCTCACCCCTTGTCATCTACAGCAGGCAGGATAGCTGGCCCTGGAGCCATGAAAGCAGGATAACTGGCCCCACTCCTCATCTGATGCATCATTCAAGAAAGTGGACCCTGCACCTCACCTGGGCAGCAGGTAGAGCTAGTCCCGGTTGTGGGGGTTGCCAGTAAGCAGGTCCCCAGTACATGAAAGTGTGAGAGCCAGTGGGCTGACCAGCTCAGATACCTCTCAGGACTTTGGATTGGACCACCCCAACATCTACCCCATCAGTGAACGGCTGGAGTGCATGGAGGGGCCAGTCCTACAAATCCAAAGCTACAGGATCTCCATAACATGTGGCAGCAACAGGTTATCCAAGAGGAGTCCCAGTGAGGTTCCAGTACTGACAGAGAGCAGAAACCAGAGGCCTCGTACCAGGCCAATGAACCATTGCAATGAACATTTGCAATTCCAAGCAAAGTGGACAAAAGGGTGTACTGTGGGACACATTGTGACACACTAGAGCTTCAACAATGAGATGTTTTTCCTGTATAGAGGGTAGGAAGATTGCAAGGGTAGAGGGCAGATCTGAAGTGAGGGGGAGATGAGTCAAATTGGGGTGCATGATGTGAGTTCACAAAAAACAAATAGAAAATTTAAAAAAGAACTATATAAATATTAGGAAATTAATAAATAGTACCTCAGCTCTAAGCATGTGTCAGAGGACTCCCATGTCTCCTTGACGATTCTGTCTGCTCTGGTTATAGCAGCACAAATGTTCTTCTGGCCACGCTTTCTTCACCACTGTGCCTTTACATCTTACCCACCGTCAAGAGTCATTCTGGACCTGAATAAATACTGGACTGAGGGTTCCCTTAGCCTTTACAACACGAGAACATGATAATAATGTTTGATACTTTTATTGCAATCTTGTACATAAGACACTGTATCATTTTGCGTGTATTAAGTCATTTAATCCTTGTAAACTGATACTGATGGTGTTAGAATCCTCACTTTCTAGACGCAAAACTCTAATGATTGTTTTAAAATCCTGACTATGAATAGGAAGGAAGATCATAACTAAAATCTAACCCAAGACAACTTGGCCCAAGAAGCTAAAACCTAAATGCAACAAGCCTCTACAGGGAAAAAAAAAGAGGTAGTTTTTATTTTTTTCCAAAAGGAGAGTAGGGGATAGAGAAAGTAAACGCACAATTTCTGAGAGCTAGCAAGCAGCCATCTCAACTAAGGACAATCACTTACAGCATAAGCTCATCTGATGGCAGCAGGGCTAGTGAGCCCAGTGACTACGAGACCTCGGTATTAGCAATGTGTGCACAGACTAGAGAGTTGTATCAGTGCATAAAACGAATTGCCATGCAAGTATGGAGACCTGAGTCAACATTCCCAGAACTCACATCAAAGCCAGACACCTGGAGCAAGCACATCTGATTCCAGAGGCCCCTACAGGAAGATAAAAACAGAGACAAGAGAAACCCAGAAGCCCATGGGCCAGCTAGTTGGGGGATACAAGAGAAAAACAGCAGTGACCTGGTCTCAACCAAGGTGGAAAGGAAAGACCAGTGTTCAAGGTTATCCATGAATTTTATACAATCGCTTACCCACATATACACACATGAATGCAGTATGCACACATACATGCATATACACACAAGCATGTGTTCATGTCCTGTATAATGAACTAACTTGCTGCTGAGAAGAAAGGTCCTTCAAATTTTCCCAAGAGAGCTAAACATGCCTAACATCAGGAAAATTTAGTATCTTCATGAGATTCACACATCTTAATCCAGTAAGTACACTCGTGATGTCCTCTAAGGAAAAAAATCAGCTGTGAAGCAAGTTTGCTTTAGCAGAAAGGATATTTAATGCAGAATTATTCACTCCTAATATGTATAGTTGCACATATAAAGCCCAACAAAAGAAGAGTTCTCATGTTATGAAGAAAATGTATCATAGAAGATGACAAAATGTTAGTATGATGTTATCCAATTACCACTGTATTTGATAATTGAAAATAAAGACATTGGACAAAAACAAATCATACTTGTCAGTTGTGTAGAAAACATGACCATAGCTTGATACCAAACACTCAAAATATTATACTCTAAACTGTTAGGCATAGCTTCTTATGGCAAGTTCACAGGTTTATTTTTCTTTTTCTCTCTTTTTAATATATTTTGTAATTTCCCATGATGAGATTATTTTATTTTATAAACATGAGAACATTCAAAACTCACAAAACTGTCCTGGAGAACTTTAATAATATAAACATGAAAGTTAATGAGGTGGCTCAGTAAGAAAAGGTGTTTGCTATGTCC